AAAAAAAAAAAAAACCCACGAGAATCCTGTGCTGAGAGTTTGGATGCCTAATTTCCCCCCATTTGTTTGCCGATGGGTAGTCATTAATCCTCTGTGCTTCACTTTCCTTTTCTTTAAGATGAGGGTGATCCTCTGTCTTGACTGTAGTAATAATGTTGAACTAATATATTTGTCTTCAGGTCCCTGGCTAGGGAGAAACCACTAAACATCTTGCTTAAATACCTAGTTGTTTGTTTCCCTGTTTGCTATTTGGTAAGTGGCAAAAAAGAACTTTGAACAGATCTTCAGAGATTATTGGGATGGAGACGTTAAGGCCTTTAATAAATGTGAAAACCAAGAAAAAAGTTTCCCCCTTTTTTTCCTTTTCTACCTTTTTGTCCTTTGACAAGAAATCTTTTAGAGTTTGAAAATTTCTATTTAAAATGCTTAGTAACTGGGCGTCTGGGTGGCTCAGTCCGTTAAGTGTATGACCCTTGATATCAGCTCAGGTCTTGATCCCAAGGTCGTGAGTTCAAGCATTGGGGTGCATGCTGGGCGTGGAGCCTACTTAAAAAAAAATTGCTTTATAACCATTTTAAGTTAACACGCTGGCACATTGCTACCTAGATTTTATTCCATATCCCATCTTACCGCACTGCCCCCTTCATATTAGAAAAAGGTAATAGGAATATATTTATATATTTTTCTGTGCAAAATCACTATATCAGATTATTACTATACCTATATATTACCGAACAGTGGAACTGCCATTCTTCTAAGCAAGGGGAACACAAAACTTTATTTGCTTGTGAGTTTCTTTCTGTTCACTTCGGACGATTTCTCCAAACCAGGCCATTCCATGCTGGGGATTGGGAATCCCTCCCATTCTCATTTGTTTGTACCGAGGAGACTAGGAATAAGGAATTTACTGCCTGCTCCCAAGATTCTGGTCAGAAAAGAATTCTAAAGGTTTTAGTTAGAAGGAAATTGGAACCAGACTTTACTTCCTCTTCTTTTTTATTTTTTTTCAAGATTTTATTTATTTATTTGAGAGAGAGACAGCAAGAGAGGGAACACAAGCAGGGGGAGTGGGAGAGGGAGAAGCAGGCTTCCCACTGAGCAGGGAACCCGATGCGGGGCTGGATCCCAGGACCCTGGGATCATGACCTGAGCTAAAGGCAGATGCTTAACGACTGAGCCACCCAGGCGCCCCTTTCCTCTTCTTTTTTAGATCAGACCTCCCTAGAGGGCCTTACTTGACCTGATACTTCACGTAGACTCTTCATATATCCTCACATCACCCTGTTTGTTTATTTTCTCCATAGCAGTTTATGACAAGCTGAAATTAACTTGTTTCTGTGTTTGCTTGTTTATTGTCTCCAATTGAAACATAATCTCCACAAGAAGAGGAATCCTGTCTTGTTTCACCTTTCACATCTCCAGTTTCTGGTACATAGTAGGTACTGCAGTAAATATTGTGAATGAATAAGCGAGCAAATGAGTGAGTAAACCAAGTTGTTCATGCTTTAAATGAAACTTCGTAAAGATTGTTGAGCTTAGGCCTTTATGCGGCCCTCCCCACCCCCAAATTCTTTTTTCTGGAACTATGTTTTTTCTTATCAGTGTCTGCTGGTCATTGTGAAGGTGTCTCCATCCAGAAGATCTTGTATTTATCTGTGCTTTACTTCGTATTTTTTCTGTTGTTTTTTGCTTATGTAAAAAAAAGCTAAGCTCTAAGATTTCTTAAATCCTTCTTGCAGCAACTTTGTAATAGTTTGATTTATGGGAATAAAGTGTATTTGAAACTTTAATGTGCCCACTTGATAATTTAATGAATAGTCCAAGCATATATTTTCGGAATTTTAGGATCATTGCTCTAAACTGCCATTACTGTTTTCTGGTTATGTTCTCTTTTTTTTTTTTTTAAAGATTTTATTCATTTATTTGAGAGAGAGAAGAGAGCACAGACTGGGGGGAGGGGCAAAAGGAGGGGGGGAAGCAGACTCCTTGCTGAACCCGTTGGGGTGGGGACCAGGACCCCCGAGATCACGACCTAAGCTGTAGGCAGACAAACGCTTAACTGAACCACCCAGGCACCCTCTGGTTATGTTCTTTTAAAGCAAAACAGTACAGTTCATTCAGTATTTACAAACCTAGCCTTTCTAGTGGAGGCAAAGAAAGTAGTATGGTATAGAGAAAAACCTAAATAGTGAGTCAGGACCTGTCTTCTAGATCAATATAGTTTCTGCCATTAACTGCCTCATTAGGCAAGATATCCTAGGTTTTATTTCATCTGAAATGTCAGGGGATTGTATTAGATTTCTTCTCAGGTTCATCTAGCCCCAAAATGGATAATTGAAGGTACTTTAATTGTATCTCGAAACTTCCAACATTGCAGGGAAGTCATTGCTGCTTGGAAGAAGGTGGGGTTAGACTCAGGGATGTGCTTAAAGTAAACTCTAAGTATCTCTACTGATTGTTCACTGGGCTCTGTGGGCGTTGTGGCAGCAGCGTAGGGCAGGTTACTGTTGCCCTCAGGAACATGGGATTGTGGGGACAAGGCTCATGACTGGATGAGAAGGTGGGATATGTGAAATCAGCTGATATAAAGTAATGTGCTGTGAGAGCCGATCAGCAAGGACTGGGGTAATGTGATGAGGTTTTGAAATCCTTCTGGTGAAGGTAGCGTTTAAAGAGATACTCTAGTCTCATTTTAGGCTGTTTGGAAGATGAAGTCTTCTCAACAGTATGCCATTATATCATTTTTTAGGACTGGGTAATTCTTCAGTAACTAGTACCAATGAAATATTTCATGCTGTCCACAAATTTTGAGTAGAAACTTGCTCAAGCCTGCAGCCTTCTGATAGCTGTTAGCTAACTGAATGAGAGGATGTAAGGAAACATGCTTCATAAATAAAAATACATGTAAACATAAGGTGTTATCATTACTATTGTATGAGACAGTGAGAAGACTGGCTTGATTGGGGGAGATATTTTTGTGACTAATGGGAAATAAATTTGCCTTTGGGGACTGATTACGGAGGGCCGTGAGAGCTAATCAGAGGAGTTTTATTTAGGTCTAGTAAAACATCTCCTGTATTAGCTCAGATAACTCAGATTATCAAGAATTACTGTCATTGGGATGCCTGGGTGGCTCAGTCGTTAAGCGTCTGCCTTGGCTTAGGTCATGATCCCAGGGTCCTGGGATCGAGCCCCGCATCGGGCTCCCTGCTCCGCGGGAAGCCTGCTTCTCCGTCTCCCACTCCCCCTGCTTGTGTTCCCTCTCTCGCTGTGTCTCTCTCTGTCCAATAAATAAAATCTTAAAAAAGAAAAAAAAAGAATTACTGTCATTGCTGTATTAGTACCTGACACTAATAGTAAAAGTTAGTGTATATTGAGTAGTATGAGGTGTCATTTCTCTTTACCAGTATTAGGTAACTCCTGTTGTCCCCATTATATAAATGAGGACATCGGGGTCTAGGGAGATAAAGTAACTTGCTCAAGGTTTTAAAGATAGAATATATAATTTCATATGGAGTACCTTGAGGCTGGAGGTGGGGCAGGAGTGG